GTAGCTCAAAAGAGGGAATAAATCTTTACAGCAAAGATCATTCCCACCCACTCGGTACACAGGGTTGACAGTGATGGGCAACTTAGACATTGGCTGCCCAAAAAGGGGTAGGGGGAGGCTACGAGGCAAGAAGTGACTGGCTTACAATCTTTCAAGAGGGAGTCTGGTTTTAGAGGGTACTGGAGAAGGTAAAATCTTCATTGAATGGTTTCCAATCTGTCTGGACAGGGTAGGTGAAAGGAGATGGGGATAAGGCTCTTGTGGTTCAATAGTGAATAATTGCTATCAGGACTGATTGTGAGAGTTGCAAATGTAAAGGTAGATGTTTTGTGACAAAAGGAGGAGAGTAGTTGATTTTGTAGTCCAGGAGCAGAGGACCATGGGACCATCAAGGGAGAAGAATGGAGTGCAGGACCCTATCCAGAGAAGCAGTGATGCCAGAGATGGAGGCAGAGAAGATGAGGTGGAGAGATGGAGCAGCTGAGGACTCTAGGTCTCAGGGAGGGACAGGGGATGTGTGCTGTCAGCCAGTGAGCAGACTTGCGAGGTGTATCCTTTGGTTGTTTGAATGGTTATATATTCCTGAGTACTTCAGTGTACATCCCCCACCCGTAAAAACCAAACCAAAACCAAACAAAAAAACAGAGGGAATGGAAGTAAATGCTAGTGAATGATGATGCATGGAGGGGATTGTAATCATTGCAATGAAATGAAATACGATAGGATGAATGGAAAGCTAATGTTCTCCCATATAAACAATCACTCAATTCACGATAAAAACTTAAAAAAAAAGAATGGAAGTTGAAATAGAGTAGTTTGAGGTACTTCATTGATTTTTTTATAATACAAATAATGGTATGAACTCATAAGCACTTACATTATATTTCATGCATGTGTAATTTCAATTAAATAGTTAATTTGAAATAAGATACAAAATCACAGGAAATCAATATGCTGCTAGAAAATCAAGTTATTAACTACTAGTTGAAATGAGGTTGAAATTCTACTTAACAAGGGCTGTAGCAAAACAATTTTCATTTTTTACATGCATTATGAATACTCTTAATAACATAAATGTGTGTAATAATCTATGAATATTAGTATTAACGCTAACCAGTCTATCACAAAAATGAAAATGTAAAAGAAACTGATGCATAGTCATGTATTTATGGAATGATGACTCTGCAGCAAAAAATAAAATTACATAATAACATCAATTTTTTAAAAAGTGGCAGTCCCTTTATCTTTGAGAAAAAAATAGAAGATCTGAAATGGAAAAGAAGAACACATTCAAATATTTAAAGAACTATCAATCTCCAGACTTGTTTCATGAAATTTACAGATGGCTGTACAACTTGAGCAAACAAAAAAAAATTATCTTATTAGTTTGTTATTGTTGGGGGCAACTCCCCTTGAAGGGTCTTTTCTTTTGTAAGATTGTATTGTTCTGGACTGCCAGAGAATGAACAAATCTGTCTTGTAAGAAGTACAGTCAGAATGTTCTTTATCATCAAGATGGCAAAACTTATCTTAGATACTCTGGACATGTTATCAGGAGGGATCAATCCCTGGAGAATTACATCTTATTTGGTAAAGTGGAGGATCAGCAAAAAAGAGGGAGATCCCCAACAAGATGCTAGACACAGTGGCAGCAACAATGGGCTCAAACATAGCAACAATTTTGAGGATGGCACAGTACCACACTGTTTTGTTCTGTTGTACACATGGTTTTATGGTAGGAATCAACTAGATGGCTCCTACTAACAATAACATATTTATTTCATTAACAATTAATTATACAGTTACAGAGTCAACTTTGCTAAGTAAGAGCCTATACAAATTAAACTTTTTTTTTTTTTTTTTGCTTTCAGACATACCAACTAGTTGCTTAAAAGTTGTACGTTTTTGTTTTGTTTTGCTTTTTCCTTTCTCACTGTGGAAAAAAAAAATTTTTTTTAAACATAATTACTCCCACTGCAGAATAACTTCACAGAGCTCTAATGACCAATACATCACTTCTCCAATGAGATTAGTTATTTGGCATCAGAATAGAAGGCTTTATATTGCCTGACCTTAAGATATTGCAATTGTGTTGTTGAGGGCAAGAAGAGCGCAGTCCTCATGACCTTAAGGCAGAACCCAGGATCTTACTTTAGCACAGTTTAGTGTAGGGAACCAAGCTAAAATGTATCAAGTCAAGAGTATACTGCAAATATTTTCAGTATGAAGATTCATAACTAAAAGTAGAGAGTTAAAAAACAATCAGGGCACCAAATTTAACAAAAAGGGAAAGCAGAAAGACTGGGGTGAGTTCTTGAAAGTATAAACACTATGCATACATTTTTCATTACATATTTTTGGACTAGATAAGTAAACTGTCTTCTATATGCAAAATTAACAACTAGAATTAAGCAAAGGGGAGACTGTGTTACCTCAGTCAAATTGGAAAAGCTGCCTGTTGTCGTTGTTATGTGCCATGGAGTTGGTTCTGACTCATAGTGACCCTGTACAGGGTTATTGAGGCTGTAACTCTTTACGGGAGCAGAAAGCCTCATCTTTTCCCCCCTCAGAACAGCTGGTCGTTTCAAACTGCTGACCCTGAGGATAGCAGCCCAATTCATAACCACTATACCACCAGAGCTCCTAGAAGTGCCAAATTCCTGTTGCTCTCTTCTCTGTCTCAATGGCTCCCCTGCTGCCAGGTCTCAGGGTTGCCCTGATATGACTAAAATCATAATCTAATGAGCACAGGGAAAGTTTGTTACAACCATTATATATGGCCTCTTTGTCTTCTTTTACTTTCTATTTGGAGGCTAGTTAGCCTTGCTTTAAACAAATATTTATTATGAAAATTTCCTTGAGATGAAGAAAGGAGCTACTACGTGAAGCAGACTATTAACAACTGTGCTGTTGTTACTTGCCTTTGAGTCAGCTCCGACTCACAGGGTTGCCAAGTCCTGCACCATCTTCATGATCATGGGATACTTGTGTCTACTGAGCAATAATGGTGATTAATAAGGTGTCCTTTACTACTTTTTGTTTGTGTTCTTATAAGAAAACATGTTTTGTTTTGCTTTTAAAGGATGAATTAAGATCAAAATATTAAAAACCATATTGTTTTAGAGTTCCATTGATATATTTTAGAGGTGGCTATTAATGTAAGATTAATTTCCTATGTATCAAATTTTGTCTTAAATCAGATTCTCAGCAGGAAAAAGGTATGGCAGTATGCTTCAGTAAAGACTTTTGTTGTTGTTAAGTACTTTCCAGTCAGTTTGGACTCACTGATCCTGTATAGGGTTTCCAAGGAGTGACTAGTAGTTTGAACTACTGACTTTGCAATTTGCGTCCAGTACTCCTCCTACAATAGATACCAGGACTCCCTATAAAGATTACAACCTATAAAACCCTATGGGGCAGTTCTACTCTGTCTTGTATGGTTGTTGTGGATTGGAGACAACTAAACCACAATGGTTTGATTTGGGGTTGCAAAATTTTTGCTTTTAAAATTTTTTAAATTTTTATTGCTTCAGTTGTATCTAAATAACCTGGCCTCAACAAAACACTGAAGAATATTAGGTGCAGAACTTCAATCAACATAAGGACAAATTAATATCTGTTGTGTATTGGTGGTATATGGCTAAAACTAAATACATTTCTTTAGAATCTGCGGATTGTGCAGCGTTCTCTTTTTGTACCAAGTGGCCATATTGTGTCCAACATGTAAGGCAAAATGTCCAAAAACATCCTGTTGCTGTTGTTAAGTGCTGTCAAGTTGGCTTTGACTGGTAGTGACCCTGTGTGGGGTTTCTGAGGAGCAGCTGGTGAATTTGAACCACCAACCTTATGGTTCAAGCCAGTTATGAGGTTGAGTGCTTTTCCTATGTTGCCACACCAGGGTTCCATAAATATTCTAGAGACAATTTAAATGCTAGTTAACATTTTCCTTTTGACAATCTATTATGTGTTCAAATTTTACAATGTATACTTAAGTTATATGAGGCATTTCCAAATGGATCATTAATGAAGATGTTAAAGAGTTTGATAAATTCAAGTGTGGCAAGGAGTGCATAAGAAGAGAAGAAAGACAAGGTAAGAAGGAAGAGACTGAAATGCATACATGATTTATTTATAAACATGTAGAATTTGATTAACTATTATTAATTGGATGTAAAGAAATATTCTTGACCTTCACAGAAGCTTTCAGAGTACTATCATTGTCTCTAGAATCTCTCTCCTTCATTTTATAATATGGCAAATTGCTTCTATTAAACTTCTTAAAGCAGTTTCAAGTCTATGATTTTCAATTTCAAGACCATTAATCATGACTACTTAACCTTGCTTTCAGGATGATTTGTATCCGTACATTATATCCAGATCTACCATTTCCAACTTATTTTTTTTTATTGTTGTCATGCACTGTCTCCTACGGCAGGCCTCTTCTCTCATGGGTCTCTTAAAAATATCTTCCATATTTTTACTTTTGTATTCATATTCCTATTATTTTGTTTGTCTTTTTGTTTAGTAAACCCCAAACTTTTACAAAGCTTTACCTCAAATAAACCCTACTCAGTGATACCATATCTTGCCATTTTGGCAAAGAGTAATTTCTCTCATCTTGCTAATATTTATGATATGACTATATCACTTACTTATATTTGCCTGCTTCTGATTTTATATTAGTTTTTAAAATGAGTATCTTAACTCTTTAATTATGATAGGAACCTTATCTGTTTCTTTTCCCCCATGCTTCTTTCATTTCCCATCATCCTCATATGTGTTAAATAGATGATACATGATGTTGTTAAGTGCCTTGGAGTCAGTTCTGACTCATATCAACACTGTATAGGGTTTCTGAGGATCTGCTGGCAAGTTTGAACTGCTAACCTTATAATCAGCAGTGCCGATCCTACTGAGTCACATTAAGTTGAATTGACTTACTTAATTGAAAACCTATATTTATTTTATATATAAAATAGCTGTATTACATTGTGAATCATTGTAATATGTCCCTGGTTATCTTTTATTTAGGTGACTGTGCACTGAATACATGGCTCATGCAAATGAATCAGTGGTATCTGAGTTTGTGCTGCTGGGTCTCTCTGAATCTTGGGAACTTCAACTTTTCTTTTTTGCCATCTTCTTTATAGTATATGTGTCATCTGTGCTTGGCAACATCATGATTATTGTAATCATTTCCTCTGACTCCCATCTGAACTCCCCCATGTACTTCCTGCTCAGTAACCTTTCTTTCATTGATATCTGTCAGTCTAACTTTGCCACTCCCAAGATGCTTGCAGACTTTCTTATTGAGCATAAGACTATCTCTTTTGAGGGTTGCATGGCTCAGATATTCCTTCTTCACAGTTTTGTTGGGAGTGAGATGATGTTGCTTGTGGCCATGGCATACGACAGATTTATAGCCATATGTAAACCCCTGCACTATAGCACAATTATGAGTCGGAGATTATGTATAATTTTTGTGTCTATATCTTGGGCTGTGGGTATTCTTCATTCTGTGAGCCACTTGGCATTCACAGTGGATCTGCCATTCTGTGGTCCCAATGAGGTAGACAGCTTCTTTTGTGACCTTCCCCTGGTGATAGAACTGGCTTGCATGAATACTTATGAAATGGAAGTTATGACCCTAACTAACAGTGGCCTGATATCACTGAGCTGTTTTCTGGCTTTAATTATTTCTTATACTATCATTTTGATCACTGTCCAACGCCGGTCCTCCAGTGGATCTTCCAAAGCACTTTCCACTTTAACTGCCCACATCACAGTGGTGATTCTTTTCTTCGGACCTTGCATTTATTTCTACATATGGCCTTTCAGCCGGCTTTCTGTGGATAAATTCATTTCAGTGTTTTATACTGTTTGTACACCTCTGTTGAACCCTATTATCTACTCTCTGAGGAATGAAGATGTTAAATCAGCCATGCGGAAGCTGAGAAATCGCCATGTGAACTCCTGGAAAAACTAGGGAACAACCATGAGGGAGAATAATTTTGAATGATGTGACAGTTAAGGTTTTGTATCAGCTTGATGGGGCCAAGATTCTCAGTGGTTTGGTGGTTAAGATAAAGTAATGAACTCCATGATGCAATCTTCTGTGAACAACCAGTAAATTGAAAGGAGGTTTCCTTGGCCTTATTTCCAGTGTATTGGACACCGGAGCAAATGTTGCTTGCTTTCTACTGGGTCTGGATTCTGCATCTGGTTCATCACACAATTCAGTTAGACCTGAGCCTGCTCTATTGCCTGAGGCCATCAGCAGCCTACTATTTTACCTTCCCCACCTACCTGCCATTTGACCTGCTGATTTTGGTTCATCTGGTCTATGGACTTGGAACTTACCCACCTCTACAATTTTGTGAGTTATTTCCTTGATACAAACTTCTCTTTATATATATATACATATATGAACTTCATTGGTCTTGCTTTTCAAGAGAATCCAGACTAAGAATGAAAACCTCTAGTGGATCGCATCTTTGTGTAGCTTTCTGTGCTAATGATATGGTTTATTTACTTATGACATTGTTATTGTCTTCTTTGAAAGGAAATTGCATAAAGTCAGCTTCTGGTTATTCATTTAAACATAATTTTAACTGATTCTTTCTTTGTTTGAAATTATAAATTGTATATTATCTTGAAAATGGGTGCTAACCACAAAGTCAGAAGTTAAAATTCACCAACAACTCTGTGGGAGAAAGATGAGCTTTTCTGTTCCTGTAAATATTTACAGACTTACAAGCCCTACATAGAGTCACTATGAGTCAGAATTGACTTGATGACAATGGATTTGGTTGGTTTTAGTTTGAAAATATTTAGAAATACTTTAAAGCATTTAATAAAGAAAATACATTACAATGGTCATAAAATGCTATTACTGGTATTAAGCTTGTAATGGGAGCCCTGGTTGTACAATGGTTAAGAACTCTGCTGCTAAACAAAAGGTTCACAGTTTGCACCCATTCTAAAACTCCAGCACACATAACAACAACAACTACAGGAGTCCTGGTGTGATGTTTTAGGATAAGCACTGGGCTACAAGGTTAGTTTGAATCACAAGTTCCAGTCAAGTGACACAAAATGACAAATGGCAACACAGAACTCAGACACTACTCACAATTCTAGAGTTTATCAGGAAGTCAACACAATACAATTCAGGACCAGAAATGCTCAGGACACAGGTCTTTGGTCAGAACAGACTCTTCCAAGGCAGGCCTGCAGGCAGGCCTTTCTGTGGCCTAGTCTCTTAGCTAAGCAGCCCCGTGGACTCTTCCCCAGTCAGGCAGTGTTAAAGAGTTCTTTTAGTGCTGCTGAAAAATACCCAAAGTACAATCCACTTTGCTATAAGTTTCAGTCTGAAAGTGTGAGGCTTTAATTGTATTGTTCAACAAATTGGCTTCTCCAATTAACTGCTTGAGGCACCTCACTTATCAAGTGAGCCTCCTGCCTAAAGCATTCAGTTTTACTTGCTCCATGGGCCAGGAAACCCAGTATTCTGTCTCATGTTTTGCTTCTGTGGTTATTGGTTCTGTGACTGTTGCTGCTGTCCTCTGCTATCACAGCACTTTGTCTCCTGAATTGAGGAGGTTCAAAGAGCAGGGATCTTGAGGTCCAAAAGGGCATGCTCCAAAGAAGTGTGACTCTTCTTTGTTATTGGTAGTGAGATTTCCCCCCTCCTGCTTCTTAGCATTGTGGTCTGAAAAGATGCTTTGTAGTATTTTGATGTTTGTAAGTTTTTCGAAGCTTGCTTTGTAAGTTTTTGTGACCCAACACGTGGTCAATTCTGGAGACTGTTCCATGTGCACTGGAGAAGAATGCATATTATGCTGTTGTTGGATTGAATGCTCTGTACACATCTTTGAGGTCAAGTTGGTTGATTGTGCTGTTTAATTCCTCTGTAACTTTATCGAGTTTCTTTCTGGTTGTTATATCCCTTTTCGAAAGTGGTGTATTAAATCTCCCACTATAATTGTAGATTTATCTATTTCTTTCTTCAATTCATATATCTCTATTCTCTTTAATTGGGAACGTAGATATTTATTATTGTTATGTTGTTTTGCTCAATTGACCCTTTGATCATGAGATAGTGTCCTTCTTTATTTCTTATGCTGGTTTTTGTCTTAAAGTTTACTTTCTAAGAGCTTAGTATTGCCACTGCTGCTTGTTTATGATTTTTCTTAGCTTGATAAATTTTTTTCCATTTTTTAACTTTAAGTCTGTTTTTGTCTTTGTGTGTATGGTGTGTCTCTTGCAGGTAGCATATTGAAGGGTCTTGTTTTCTTATCCATTCTGCCACTCTGTGTCACTTCACTGGTGCATTTAATCCATTGATATTCAATGTAATTATCGATGACCATGCGGCTGTGTACCGTGGAGTCAGTTCCAACTCATAGCGACCCTGTACAGGGTTTCCAAGGCTGTAAATCTTTATGGGAGAAGAACACCTCATCTTTCTCCTGCGGAACAGCTGGTAGTTTTGAACTGCTAACCTTGTGGTTTGCAGCCCAATTCCTAACCACTATGCTACCAGAGCTCCTTATGAATTAATTGTTGTCATTATGTTAATTTTTTGGTAATACTGTTTGTTCCTTTGTTCTGCATGCCTTCTTGTGCTGAGTTTTGTGTTTTTTGTGCTATTTCTTGTCTCCCTCCTGCTTCTTAGATGATTCATTTTACACCCAGCAGTGTGGTAAAACTGATCAATACCCACATTGGAGTTTGAGTCTTTATAATCAAAATTATCCATGTTCACAATCACTCACAAATGAATCATAAAATCCTATCTGCATCTTCCTTCACTTTCTCTTACCCAGACACATCAGGAAAAAAAATCGCTTGGTGGAAGCTACAAAGACTAAGTCTTAGAAGGATTATATTAAATAATTTGTTGCACTACAACATTGGAGGACAATAACACCTGAGAGAAAACACACAATCAAGGTGGACTCAATTAATTCAATGACTTCTGATCTGATGAATGTTTGAAGGTTATAGTACAGGAACTGTAAACCTCAATAGAACCTGCTTGTCTCGTGTGGCACTGTAGGATCTGCAGTGGACTGTGATCCATAAGGTTGGAAATTTAATCCCACCAGCTGCTCCTCATACAGGGTTGCTAAGAGTTGTAATCAAGTTAACAGCATTCAATAACGACGACAGTCTCTCAAAATTAAGAGGACAACATTTGGAGTCTAGGAAGGTTAATATGACTAGAATTTTTCAGGAAAATTACTCGAGAAGAAGGAACTGAGCAGAGAAATAATTCTATATGGGTTCAGGATTCCCTAAAGCATTGAGTAAATATGTGTGTGAAAAAGTTATCTGAAACTTTGGCAAGAACCATGGGAAAATAAACAGGCAGTACAAGTATGAAGCACACACATGGCAGGAATAGTTCATGTTACTACTAGGCAGAATAATGTAGATTTCTAGGAGGGCACTGTTTCAGTAGACCCCCAGGAGGTTTACACTGAAATACTAATTTGAAGTTTGGTGATCCAAATCCACCAAGTGGTGCCATGGGATAAAGGCATGACAATCTGTGCCATTAAAGATGATAGTGAAGAAAACCTTACAGAATAGTTCTACTATGTAACACATTTTGTTGTTGTTGTTATGTGCCATGGAGTCGGTTTCGACTCATAACGACCCTATACAGGGTTTCCGAGGCTGTAAATCTTTACGGGAGCAGAAAGCGTCATCTTTCTCCCGCGAAACAGCTGGTAATTTTGAACTAATGACCATGAGACTAGCAGCCTGATTCGTAACCACTACACTACCAGAGCTCCTTTGGGTCACCATAATTCAGAATCACCTCAGTGGCAATGGAGTTTATTTGCTGGTATTGCCTCCATGGTGCTAAAGTAATTAGTCCTAGACTAAAGGGTTATGTAGACCTACATTAACATATTTTGAAAACAAATCTCAAAAGGATCAAAATAATTCCAAGAAACTTAATTGTGTCACCGAACTAAATCCAACAATATGTAAGGAACAAAAAGAGAAAAAGAAAAAAAAAAATTGCAAAATTCAAAAACTTTAAAACTTCTGTACATGTAATATGGCAGAAAAATAAGAATTATAAGCAGGAGAAATATAACAACCAATAAAATCAGACTGATAAATGACACAAGCAATAAAATTATCAGGAAAGACACTTGTAACAATCACTATAAATATATTCTATATGCTCGAGTAGGTAAAGGAAAACATGAACATGCTGTGGAAAGATTAAAAAAAAAAAACTCTAATAAAATTTCTAGAGATGGAATTAAAATATCTGAAACGCAAAATATTCAAAGCAGGATTAAGAACAGATTAGACACATATATGTAATATTTGTTTTCTTTCCCCTGGCGGCTTTCATGATTTTCTCAATTTACTGGTTTTCAGCAATTTTCTGATAGAGTTAGCTGATCTTCTTAAATATCTGGGTTTATAATTCCATCATTGTTGTTGTTGTTGTTACGTGC